TCCGGGAGGGGCCGCCTGGTCCAGGGGGGCTGAGGCGACAGCCGAGGGCCCTGGGCGGGGCACGCAGTGGGCGGGGGAGAGGTGAGGACCGAGGCCTGCGGAGGCGCAGTCTGCCGGCTGGTAGCAGCCCCTTCCTCCCCCTTGGAGGCCACAGGCCTGTGGACGGGGAGGGATTTCTGACAGGGAGGGGTCAGTGTGACTGGAGACGGCCTGAGGCAGGCAGGGAGAACAGGCCAAGGCTGCCTGGGGCCTAGGAGACCGGGCGGGGGAGAGGCTGGGCTGGGGGAGAGGCTGGGCTGGGGGAGAAGCTGGGCTGGGGGAGAAGCTGGGCTGGGGGAGAGGCTGGGCTGGCCAGCGGTGCAGGCGGGAGGTGGGAGGTGCGGTGTGGGCTGTACTCTCGCCAGGCCTCGGGCAGCCTGGCCTGCGGGGCAGCTGAGGCGTGCATGGCAGGGTGCAGGGGGCCACTTCGCAGCACGGGCTGCGGGCCTGGGGCTCTACTTACACGGGGTGGGCAGGGGGCCCTCGGCTTCCGGGGTCCCCGAGCCCCTCCTCATTGAGCTCGGGGTGCCAGGGACCCTAGGGGCTGCGTAGACAGATGAAATGTGAGTAGGAGGCGGATGGGGGTACACAGGAGAGGAGGGGGCAAGAGACAGACAAGGTGAGGACTCGGCTGGAGAACCCCAGACCAGCGACGAGCTCGGGCCACCCTGAGACCACACAGCGGAGCCTAGGGGCTCCTGGGGACAGCATTGGCCCGGCCCACCCAGGGCCCTGTGTCACAGCGGGGGGCGTGAGGCTGACTCAGGACCACACAGGGCCGGGTGTGGGAGGGCGGCGTGCGCCCCCGGGGGGCCTCTCCACTGAGGCCAGGTGTCCCTGGGTGCGCCCGCCCTGGCTGACAGGCCAGCCAGGCCTCGTGGGGACAGGTTTGGCCCCCTCCCTCCCGCCTGCTGGCTCTGGGTCCCCCGAGGGCCACACCCAGGAGCGGGGAGGGGGCGGCCCCGTGCTGATGGCTCTGCCTGTCCCAGTCTGGGGAGGCTGTGTGAAGGAGACTCTCACTGTGCCCAGGGCCGAAGCCCCGTGCTCATAGCCACTCGGGGGCACGGGGGATGTTCGGGACGGAGCAGCCGAGCAAGGCGCGTATGGCCTTTGCCCCCCAGACTGGCAGTGGCTGGCTGTGGTGCCCTGGGCAGTCCCGAGGGCACATGCGTGCGGTCAGAGCGTCAGGCAGCCACGCGGGACAGCGAGCGTGGGGTCCTCTGCGCCCCACCCAGAGGCCACGGAAGCGCCCCACCCCCCGCTGCCTGCCCACTTATCAACGGCCAGCCCAGCACAGTCTAAGGCTAAGGAGCTTTGGGAGAAGCAGCTGAGCAAATCCAGCCGTGAACTCGTTGCCTCCTGGGACCTGGGTGCCTGTGGACGCTGGGGGCCAGAGCGGAGGACGCAGGGGCGGCTTCTGCTCGCCAGGCTTTGCTGGACGCTGTGCCTAGGCTGCCTGGCACCTGTCCACACCCAGGTCAGCTCAGTGGACACGTCTGTGTCACAGACCCCAGCATGGAAACCCATGTGCTGCTGGCCCCCTGCTGGCCCGCTGCGGGTGGGGGGCACACACGGTACCTCTCGTGTCCTCGTCCTCGATGGTGGTGTGGGCGCTGTCGGATGACTCCTGGGGAGACGCAGGGGGCAGCGGGTCAGCTGTGGCCTCTGCCCCCATGGGGCCTGGTGATCAGAGGTCCAGGACGTGCCCTCCCTCCCAGAGACCCACAGCCATGTGGCAGCTTCACGTGGCCCCAGGGGTCACCCGTCCCCAAGGTTCGGCTGCCCACTTCCCCACGGCCAAGGGCCCCGTGTGTTTGGAGGACCCCACAGACATTCGGCTTCTTCACATTCTGAGGCTCCTGGTGAAGTGTGAAGGCACCCACAGCCCGTGCGTTTGGGCAGATGGGGCAGGAGGCTTCCAGCAGGTTCTCAGGAGCCTGGCGGGCCAGACTACAGCTCTACCCACACCCTAGGAGGGGCTGCCTGCCCCACCCAGTCCTTCGCTGTCCAGCCGGGCCTGGCCTCGCCTCTCCAGTGGCCTTGGAGGGCTCAGACACAGCCCTAGTGCAAACACCCCACTTGTGGCTTGCTGCCCCATCCACCTGTCACCAGGTCCCCAGAAAGTCTGCTTGCTCCTTAGAAGGGCCATCTTAACAGGGACACCCTCTAGTCCCAGCGGGACACAGTGCTCCAGGCTCTGGGCTGGAAAGGGGTCTGCAGGGTGTGGGGCCAGGTCACGGCACAGCCCTGGGAGGCTGTCTCGAGATCCCTCACGGGGAAAATGGGACTCTCACTGAGTCGCAGGGTCCAGGAGAGACCCGCTCCTGGCCATGAGGTCACCCAGGTCCCTCATGGCACCTTGAGTCTGGGCCAGCTGGGAGGCAGTGGCCACAGTCTCCCTTGGTCCCAGCCCATGGCTAGGGTGTGGGGGTTCCTTCGAGGAGCCCAGGCCCAGGGGGAATCCAGCTGCACTCCTGGGGGCAAATGGCTGCCCTGCCCCTGCCCTGAGGGCCACCCCCTCCCGGCCCTGGTTAGATGCCCGCTGGGCGGGCAGAGGTGAGACGGGTGAGGTCTGTGCTGTCCCCGACCCTGACCCTGACCCCGATGCTGACCCTGGGCGTGCCGGGCGGCCCACGCAGCCCCTCCCCCGGCCCCGCGGAGGGCCCCGTGCTCTGTGGCTCCTAGCTGAGTTGGGCCTGGTCTCTGCCAGGGTGGAATGGACAGGGCAGCTGGGAGGGTCCTGAGAGTGGACCTGCTGTAGACAGCAGGCCCTGGCTGTGTCCCCAGTGGGCTTGGTGACTACAGCCCAGGGGGAGCACCCAGGGCCTTTCCCGCAGGAGCAGCCGCGTAGTCTGGGCTGTGTCCTGCGCGGGAGAAGTCGCTGCACACCTGCCCCCTGATCTTGGCACAAAGGTTTCCCAGAGCCACATTCGGGACCTTCCAGGGGGCGGGGGTGGCTCCTGGCCCTGCGGAAGCCCCGGGGGGGGAGGGGCGTGCAGTACCTTGATCCCGTCCACTGGGTTATGAATGACGGTGGTTTGAGGTTCCTACGGGGGAAGAAAGCAGAGGGAGACGAGGGTGAGAAGGGGGGCAGGCCCCTCGCCAGGAGCCTGGCGGGGAGGGGGAGCACAGCATTGGGGGATGCAGGAGGAGCGGCTGTGACAGGGGCTGGGACGGGGCCAGTGGGAGGGAGCCGGCCAGTGAGCCCCTTGGCGGGGAGGGCGATGGCGGGCACGGGGCCCAGGGCAGCGGTGAGGAGATGCAGGGGGCCTGCCAGGCGGGCACTGCCCCGCATGCCGCCAGCCCCAGCCGGCACGGACCGGGCCCAGGCTGGAGGGTGTCATGGGGCTGTGGCAGCACACACAGGTCCAAGACGGGGCTGGCTGTGAGGTCGCGTGTGGGACCCTCCCGTCCTGGGCCCCGGATGCCCCCACATACTGGACGGCCATTGGGCAAATCCAGCCTTCCCATGGGCAGTCTGGGTCTGGCTCCTGGAAGTGGGGCTCAGGGCCCGTGGGGTGCCAGACGTGCTTTCAGGAAGCAGAACTGTGGACCAGCAAACCCCAGTCTCCTGGGACGGCCTGCTCCACAGTGCCCACCAGCCACAACCCTGACAGCCAGCCGAGTCCCCTGGCCAGAACTCCCCAGGTGAGGCCCAGAACCAAGGGGCCTCTGATCCGCGTTCACCTGCCCCTCCCCAGTGAGGAGCCCCTCCCTCTGGGCAGCCACAGGCCCGCATGGCCATGTCGGTGTCTCCACCCTTAGCTGCCTCCGGGCCCGCTGGACACGACCCGGGTGGGAAATCACCAAGGAAGACCAACCCCGTCCTTCCTGGACAAGAACTAGAGTCACCGCAGCACTCAGGAGAGGCAGGGCTCCCCCGCCGCTGTCCCCCTCACCGTCCCCCCTGCTCCCGGCTCCCCCGCCGCTGTCCCCCCTCACCATCCCCCGTCCCCCCACAGCCTGGATCTGGGCCCGGGGGCGCACGGAAGGCACAGGAGGAGCGAGAGGCAGTGTCCTGGGCCCATGTCGTGGCCTCGCTGGCCGCCTGGAAGCCTCTTGCTACTGCCCACCAGGCGGCATGGCGGGAGGCTGGCCTGTCCTCTGCTGCTGAGAGGGACTCCCCGCATGACCCCTGCCCCTCACCCAAGGGGCAGTGGGGGCAGTGGAGGCGTCCATCAGAGGCAGGCTGAGGGCCGGACCCCACCTTCACCCCCGGCCTGCTGACAGGCAGGGGGCAACAGGAGGGCCAGGAAGTTGGGGGCTGAGGGGCTTAGTACCAGGGCGGCCGGAGGAAGCGTCCCCTTGGGGCTGGTGGCAGCTGCGCTGTTCTTGGTGCTATTCGTCTGGGGCTGTGGGGAAGACAGAGAGCGGAGCCTTTAAGGGGAGAAGGGGTGGTCACACCCCATCCTGTTCTGCCCAGCGGGAGCCTGGGGGTGCGCCCAGCTGCAGCCCCCACCCCCCTGAGCTGGGGCCTCACCTTGACTCCGTCCGCTTTCTTGTTGAGTAGACTCTTGGCTGCTGCATTGGGAGGAAGCGGGCATGCTGAGTGAGGGGCTGTCCACTGCACCCCCACCCCCATACGAGGCGGCCTCAGGGGCCTGCAAGGTGCCAGGGTCCCCTAGAGTGAGTGAGGGGGTGGCCGCAAGGCAGGGGCGGCTTCCACACCCTGTTCTGAGCAAGGCCGTTCTGGGGAACCCACTGAGGAGGGCTGGCCAGCGCTGCTGGAGGACCCCCACAGTCCCTCGGCCCCCAGCACCTGCGCGTTCCACAGAGGCAGAAGGAGAAGTCAGCTTACCTCAGGAGAAGGGAAGGTGAGGCGGGAGGAGAGGGAGGTAGGAGGGAGAGAGAAGACAGGTTCGCGTCAGCTCGAGCGGGAGCAAGGCTGCCCGGGGCCCTGCCTGCCCTGCCCGCCCTGCCCGCCCTCTCGACCCAGAAGCGGGGCCCCGCGCGGGGCTGGTGCAGCTTAGACAAGCAGCTGAGGGTGGCACAGCCCACACCGCCAGCTCCGGAGGCTCGTGCTGGCCAGGCCTGAGCGGGGGCTGCCTGCCCCGAGGGACGGGGCAGCCCACAGTGGGCCTGGGCCAGACCCCTCCTGCTGGAGCACCCTGGGGGGCGCGGCCTCGGCGAGCACAGTGGACAGCCGGGCACTCAGAGCAGGGAGGCACAGACCCCGCGGGCACCATCAGCATCACTCGGGTCCCCTGAGGCAGGAGCGTGGGGTGAGCCCTCACGCCCTGTGAGCGGAGCTGACTGCTGCGTTTGGACGAGCGCTGGCTGGGACCCCACAGCAGTGACCAGGCTGCTGGGCTGCTGCCCGCCACCCACCGCCTGCCCCAACCAGGCCCCCTCAGTCCCCGGGGATGTGGGTGGCGGCTGCTCTGAGCGGCGTCGGCTCCCGGCCTGCCTCCCAGGACTGGTCGGTTCTCTCGGGAGGTCCTCCCAGGACCCTGTGGCAGAGCTGCACCAGCAGCTCAGCTCCTGGCCTGTCCCCTCGGTGGGCCTCACCCTGTGAGAGGTGTCACAGAGCCCAGCGAGCCAAGGGGGCGCATGCCGTCCTCGTCCTCAGCCCCGGGACCTTCCAAGGGCGAGACCCGCCCAGGCAGCCAGACTCAGGAGTGCACCCTGACGCCCTGGTGGCCCTGCCCTCGGGCACCCCAGGACCAGAAATGCCACTTTCCCGGGGCCACATGAACACTCTCTTGGTGGCAGCTAGATTCTGCCTCCCCGTCACTCAGCACGGAAGGACAGGCTTGCCTTGCGGACATGAACTTGGGTCTCCAGGCCGACAGCCCCATTCCTGATGAGCATGACCCTCACCTCCCCCCTGGCTTGCCTCTGCCCTTGTCTGAGCCCCAGCACACAAGGGGAGCCCGATGTCCCCTCGAGGACGAGCCGTCGGAGATCGTGGAGCCCAGACACCCTGTGCATGCTGGCTGACCAGCTGGCCAGACAGCACCCGAAGCGGAGCAGCGTCCAGCCCGCTCTGAAGGAACTGGCCTTGGAGCTGAGCGGACAAGCAAGCTGACCTCGCTCTCTGGTTTAAGATGCGCGGGTTGGGGGATCGTCCCGGTGCCTAGCGGCCTTGGCCGGTGGCATTCCCATGGGCTCTGTTACAGCCAGCGCAGGCTCTTGGGGTCTGAGAGGGCCGCCCCAGGCCAGCCCAGCGTCCCCGGCAGAAGCTGAGTTGGCTCTGCCCAGCCCGCCCCTTGGACAGAAAGGGGTCCCTAGGTCAGGCCCTGAAAGAGGCAGAAGACGACCTTGAAGCAATCCTGGGTCGTACGAGGGTCGTCTCTCGTCCCCGGTTCTGTCAAAGCCTGACCCGCCCCGCCCCCGCCAGTGCCCTCTGGGGACACAGACAGCCAGAGCTCGGCCCGGGCTGCAGGCAGACACCTGTCCTTCCCCTCAGCCTCCCAGACGTTCCTCCCCTCGGAGCTCGGTGTGAACACAGGGCCATGTGCCCCTGGGCACAGCCCCTGCCCACTGCAGCTCCTGGGAACGGCTACCTGTCCTGGAGTGACTCCAGGACCCCACTGCCGTCTACACTAGCAATCAAAGACGTGGGACGTCCCCATGTGCTTCTGCAAGTCCAACGCCTCGCTGCCAGCCGGAGCCACGGTGGACGAGCATGTGCCCAGGCCCTGGGAAACCAGCAGAGACCCTCGGCCCGCCCCACCCACCAGGGCTCCTCGGAGCCAGGCCGCCTGCCTCGCTCCCAGTGAGGACTCTGATGAATAGCAACGTGTCTGCGAAGACACCCAGCCTTCCGTTGTCGGAGGGCGCCGCTGCCCACGGAGAAGCCACGGCCTCGGAAGTGAGACTCCCGCCCACCACGTCTGCTGGTCCGGTGCGGCAGGCAGAGGTGGGCCGACCTCAGGCAGGGGCGGTCCCCCAGCCCCCAGGGCCGGCCACCGCCTCACCCCGTAGCTGGTCCCCAGGGACAGCCATGCTGGGCTCTGTCGCATGCACTGACTGGCCAGGGCAGAGCGGCCCCTGGCACGCAGGCGGAGCCACACATGCAGCCTCATGCAGCTCGCCCACGGCCCCCTGCAGGCAGAGCCCATCTCGCTCTCCGTGCCCGGCGGCTCCACCCGCAGCCCTGGGCTCATGCTCCAACCCCTGGCCCTGTTCCCCTCGGGGCCTCAGAACGCGGGGACTCTGGACGGCCCTCGGGGGCCTGCCTGCTAGACATGGCCCCCCCAGGACAGCCCTGACCTGAGTGCCAAGGAGGTGGCCAGAAACGCTGGGCCCTCTGGCGGGGCTGTGGGCCATGCAGGATGGGGCCGGGGAAGACGTGGGGCTGTGCCAGGCCCCGCAGACCGGCAAGCACGCGGCCGGCCCTTGGCTGTGCTGCCCGCCCTGACCCTGCACTGCCCTCGGCCTGGGCCCGTGAGGAGGACTGGGGGTGCAACAGCCTTCACGGGGTCTAAGGTCACAGATGGGCAGGCGGGAGCTGGCCTAGGCATCCTAGGGGGCCAGCCCCCCACGGCTCAGGGCAGCAGGTTGGCAGAACTGGTGTCCCCCTCAGGGTTTGGGACGAGGCGAGGAGGTCCGTGTAGGAAGAACCAAGAAAAAGCCTTTAAAGTCATCCTCAGGTTGGCCGAAGACCCTGGCCTGGCACGTATGGGACTGGACACAGACCACCAGCTCCAAGCAGTGCAGGCCACGGGGCGGAGGTGGGCCAGGCAGGTGGACGGGCGGCAAGCAGGCTCTCTGCCTCCACGCCCTTCTCCCCAGGATCCCCCACTGGGACTCAGCCCTCAGCAGCCCCAAGGCTTCCTGTGGGTGGTCAAGGTCATTCCGAATGAGGATTGTGATAGACAAGGGGGGAGAGCTTTAGAAAGCACAGGGCTCTGACCACGGGGGTCTCCTGACCCCAGATGCAGGGGCCAGGACCGGGGTTCCGGTCACGTGCATGTGAGGCGAGGCCCCGTCCGCGGGCCCCTAACCTGGCCCCTCTCGCGTAGGGCCTGCAGCCACCGGGACCTGGGAGCTGCCTCCCTGCCCTCAGGGTGGCTGTGCAGGGCACGTCCCCGGCGGGAGCGGGGGCTCCCGGGGCCTGGGGCGGCCCTGGAGGCCCGGCCAGCGGCTGCGAGCAGGCGGGACACGGGTCCAGAGCATCTACCTTGTTCCACCAGCCCCATGGTGGTGCCGGAGGCCGCGGTGGACACTGAGGCCGGAGCGGTGGTCTGTCTGCCCACTGTTAGCGCCGGGTTAGAGACGAGGGGGGCGGGCGGGAGGAGAGACAAAGGAAGCAGAAGAAGATTAGAGTCCAGGCCGGGGTGACGCTGGCACCAGGGCCCCAGTCACAAGAGAGTGACGACAAGGACCACGGACACTGAAGCGCTCGGCTCCTCTCCCCGCGGAGGAGGCCGACGGGCACGTCCCGTGAGCACTGGGGTGACGCGTGGCCGCACAGCACCACAGCCAGGTAACAGGAGGGCGCCGGAGGCAAACAGACAAGGAGGACGGACCACAGACCCCGCACGAGTGTCACAGACAAGCCACGGGACAGTGAGCGGGCGCTGGCCCGACTAGGCCGTGCTGTCCCTGGTGGGCCTGCTGGGGCCCTTGGCCTCGGGTCACTGACAGACCCACCCAGCGCGGCCACACGCCTCCAGCCCTGCCCACCCTCGGTGACCGGGTGGGCGGCCACCAGCGTGTCCAGGGCTCAGCAGAGAAGCCCCAGGCCCTGCTCTCGACTCACACACACAAAACGGTGCCCCGAAGTTTGAGGACGACAGGCCACACAGGGGCCGACCCATGCCTGGACAGACACACGGGGCTGCGGCCGGGCGGCAGGCAGCACAGACACTGGGGTCAGGGGACACAGAGACCCGACAGGCGGGGGGACTCGTGCCGGGCGGCCTCCTGGGGCGCCCCTGATGGGCCAGCGGGCGCCCAGGCCTCCCCACGGGTGTCAGAGGTCAGGCAGGTCAGGCCAGCAGCGGACGAGGGCGCAGAGGGGGTGCGGGGCGGGCGGCTGGTCGCAGGCCATCCGGAGCCTCCCTGGAGGAGGCGGTTCTCACCTGAGAAGTTCCGCGTGGCCAGCATGGTGGTGAGGATCGCGCCCTGTGGACAGACGCAGGCTGAGGCTGGGAGACCCTGCTGGGCCACGGCCCATGGGCTCTGGGGGACTCGCCCACTGCACCCAGACTAGTCGCCCGCTCCCGGAACTGGAGCCGTGACGTGCCCCGACCCTGAGCTGCCTGCTGCCCACAGCCTCCAGGGCGCTGCACTGGCCCGGGATCGCCCGGGGCACCATCGGGAGGGAGGGCCTGGCTGCAGACGCCTCCACAGGGCAGCCTCCCCGCCCAGGGCCACCTCCCTCCACCCCAACCCGAGGACCAAGGCGCCGCTCTCCACGCCCGGCCTGGCCCAACCCCGAGACCTGCTCTCACTGGGAGAATGTGGCCGAGAAGGGCCCAGCGTGCAGCCCCCAAGCATGGCGGTGCGAGCGGCCGAGGGGCCAGCTCTGCGCCTGGGGCCAGGCCCGCTTTGGTGCCCTTGCTGTGGGGGTACCGAGTGCGCCCGACACGTCTGGTCTGGGACAAGCTGACTGGCGGCCCGTCCTGGGCGGCCGGGACCCCGCGGCCTCTCAGGTCCTGGCTCTGACCCTGGAGGGGCGGGCACTGCCGGGCAGGGGGTGCGTGTGGGCCGTGGGCGTCACCTTGAGCTTCCTGCGGGCGTTGAACTTCTTCAGGCACTCCACGGTCTCCTGCCTGTGCATCATGGAGGCCACCGTGGAGCGTTGCTGTGGAGAGGGTGGTCACACGCTCAGGGGAGCCGAGGGCCCCGAGGGAGGCTCAGGGCGGCAGGGCCTGAGGCCTTGAAAACCCACCCGCGCATCCCAAGCCACAGGCCACATGGCACCCAGGACACCGGGGAGCCCATGGGGTGTGGAGGAGGACACCCCAGGGCCTGGGCCGGGTACTTACGCAGACCCACGGGTGCTTCAGCGCCTCATGTGCGGTGATGCGCTTGGCGGGGTTGATGGTCAGCATCTGGTTGATGAGGTTTTTGGCTTCGGGAGTGACCGTGTCCCACTCGGGGGAGGGGAACTGGAAGAGGAAACGGGGCACAGTGGCACCTGAAGCCCCGCCCCCAGCCAGGACCCAGAACCCTGAGCGGTCCAGTCCTGGCCTGGTCCGAGGGCCCGGCACTCACGTCGTAGGCTCCAGCCTTGATCTGCTGGTATAGCTTGTGCTGGTCCTCGTCCCAGAAGGGCGGGTAGCCCACGAGCAGGATGTACAGGATCACGCCTGGGGGCGAGGGCGCAGGCTCACACTGCTGCAGCCCGCGCCCGTGGCCGGACACTGCCTGCCAGGCTCAGCGTGCGGCCCCGGTGGTCACGTGCCCAGCTCCTGCCCTCAGCGCCGTGGGGCCTCAGCTCCTCGGCCTCGGCTGACACAGGGCCTGCCCGGAGCCGGTGTGGTCTTCGAGGGCACTGGGGTCCTTGAGGGCCCCCGGCCAGTGTCAAGAAGTGTCACTACTTGGAGACCCTCAGGGTGTCGTCACAGCTGCAGGACCTCTGCGCCCCCCCCACCCCCAGGCAGGCCCCTGCCCTGCAGGAGCCCCCTCTCCCCACTTCAGCACCCACCTGCTGCCCCTCCCAGCCCAGACGCCCCGCAGAGTGGAGCGGAGCACAGCCCGGGCCTCACGCTCAGCCACCGCCGTCACACCCCGCTGCCCCACACTCCCGCTCACCGCATGCCCAGATGTCCACCGGCTTGCCGTACGCCTCCTTGCGCAGGACCTCGGGGGACAGGTAGCCCGGCGTGCCAGCGAACCCTAGCCGGGGGCAGGGCAGTGTGAGGGGCCGGAGGGGCAGCCGTGCCCGCCCGGGTCCCCGGCTGCCAGGCGCTCACCGAACCACGCCTGCTGGTCGCCCTGCACCTCGATGGCCAGGCCGAAGTCCGCCAGCTTCACGGCCGCCCCCTTGCACTTGCTGGCCAGGAGCAGGTTCTCAGGCTGCAGGGCGGTGATGGCAAGGGGCGTGGTCCACAGCCGCGGCCGGGAAGGGGACAAAAACTGAGATGACAGTGGTCTGCGGGGGCACGCACCGCGCGGACTGCACCGTGTGGTGTCCCCCTGCATGGCTGACACCCCAAAGCCTGCTTCTAGGGGCAGGGACTAGAGCCCCAGCTTTGCAGGGAAAAGCTGTTCTCACAGAGCTCCTGGGACCCCTCAGACCCAGGGCGGGGGACTCGGGTGCCAGGACAGAACTGAGTGCGCCTCACGAGGCCTGGTGGCCCCATCGGCAGGGGGCTCCCCCCGCATAGCTGCTGCTCGGAGACACGGTGGGGCTGCCGCTGGGGGCTCAGGCCCTCCCTGCAGGGCGGTGACTCCAAATGGCAGGAAGGAATGGCCGAGGGTCCCCGGGCCCGGGCAGTGCAGGATGCCCACCCACCAAGCCTCGGGCTTCGGGCTGGGTGCCAGGGGCCCATGGGACCCGCTGGCCAATGGAGCAGCCCTCGCTCGAGCTGGGACTTCGTCCCCCATCCCACTGGGGTACCAGGAGGCCACTGGCCTCTGGGGACACGTGGCCCCCGGAGCCTGAGGGGTCCCTGCATGCTGGGCCCCTCCCTCCCTGGCCTGCCCCACCGGCCACCTCCCAGCGGCCAGCGCTCAGAGCTGCCAGACCCCTCGCCCCGGTCACTCCCCGTGCTCTCGGCCTTCGTCAGGCCCCCACCTGGCAGGCAAGCCCACTGAGACCACTGTCACTCCTGGGTGAAAAAGTGGGTTTATGGAAAGCAGCCCCACGGGGGGTCTGAACACAAACCAGCGGGGCAGGTCAATGGCACCAGCCCCAGGCCCAGCTCCTCAGGGAGAGGCCCATCTGCCTCGGGAGAGCTGGAACCGTGTCACGGGCCCTGCCACCCGTCCTGCCCGGCTCTCCCCACCCCCACGAGCTGCCCTTGCGTCTCTGCCCTGCTTCCAGACGCGGGAAGGCAGCTGCACACTCTCAGACCTCGCTCCACACACGTCGTCAGTTTGGCTCAAATAAACTCAAAAATTCTCTGCAGGTTTGGACGTTTCTTACGTTGGCACACTTCAGTGCCACCAAGGACAAACGCCGCAATCCAACCTTGGGGACACTGCTGGTAACCCTAAGGGGTTAGGAGGAACCAGTGGCCCCCAGAATCCAAGAAGTGCGCCCTCAAGTGGCAGAAACCAGAGCCTGACAGACACTGGGACACACGGCCTGGCCCGCCCGCCCAACTCGGCCAGTGTGAGTGGGGCAGGAGGACCCCAACCTTCCCAGGCTCCACACCGAGTCTGAAACAGCAGGGCAGGACGAGCTTAGCATAGAGGTCGCACGTCCCTGCCCAGGGAAGGGCTGGCCCCAGCTCTACCTGTCTGCCTTGCAGCCTGAGGTGACAGGCGCTCTCCTGCCTTGGTGAGCAAGCCCACCACAGCACTGCTTCTGGGGGCTCTCAGTCAGGACGGGGGGCCCTCTCTGGAGGCGGGACCATCTGCTCCCTACACTGGGCAGGAGGCCGTAGGCCGGCCAGGGCTGTGTGTCCCCAGGCACCTCATCCCATCTCTCTGCCTTGGCCTCAAAGTCAGCCATGAATCTTGGGGTCCAAGAACAAGGTGGGGCTGGTGACCGCTCCCATGTGCCCCCCGAGGCCCCTTCAGATGAGACATGGTGACAGAGACAGGGACACGTGGAAGCGCAGGGACCAAGGACACGTGAAGGGCAGAGGGGAAGGTCCTGGGCCTGCTCCTGGTATGACACTGACCCCAGAGCAGCCCCTCAAAGATCGACTCACACGCATACACCCCTCAATGGCCCAAGGAAGGCGTGACCCCACCGAGCACCAGCACCGTGGGATGGTTGGTCTCAATTGCCACCAGTGGGTCTCTCAGCAGTGACAGGCCCAGGGGTCCACCACCCGGGACAAGAAAGTGACCGAACCAAGCTGGAGTCGAAGAAAGGGGAGGGGGCGGGAGGGCTGGGAAGTCCTCCTGGGGGTGCCAAGCGCAGAGCTGAGCTGGCGCCAGAGACATGGTGAAGGCTGGACGTCTGCACAGGCCCTGGAGGCCGGCCCCTCACCCCCCGGCCCTGCCGCCTCAGCTCGACCGCACGCACATCCCGTGTCCCACTCGCCCGGTCCGCGCCCCAACTGGAGCCCAGAGGGGGGACCCCGAGTGGACACTTGCTCACAGGCCGATGTGTGACAACTGCCCCATCAGCCCTGGAGCCTGAAGGTGCTGGGAGGGACGTGTGCAGACACCCACGCACTCACACGCATTCACACGCACGCGCCTGCATGCACGCGTGCACCGACATGCACCCCACCCGTCTCTGGTGCTCGCCCCGCCCCGCCCCGGCCTCCTTTCACGGGACATGCAGGTGCAGACGGCCGGCCCCTGGCACGGGGCGGGCGGGGACTCACCTTCAGGTCCCTGTGGACGACCCCCATTTGGTGGCAATGGAGAACCGCCTCCAGGATCTGCTGGATGCAGTGACTGTGGCAGACACAGCATGTGCATTAGTGCGGTGGCCCGTGGGGGTGCAGCAGCGGGGGCTGGGTGGCATGGGGGTGGGTCCCCAGCCGGGCGGAGAATCAAGGCGCCGTCTGCCACACGGGAACAGACTGGCCGGAGGCGTCCCTCATCCCGGGTCAGCAGAGGCTTGGCCAGGCCCTGTGGCCTTTGCTTTCTCTCTGCCAGGACCACCTAGTGACACTCACGGGGAACATCCTGCACCCCGAGGGCCACGCTGGCCACGCCTGACCCTGAGGTGGGCTGGGGGCTGGCGAGGCAGGGAGGGGCCGAGGCGGAAGTGCCAGGCAGGGTGGGCAGTTGCGGCCCCCAGTCGCTCCCATGCCAGAGCTCACGTAACAACCCTGAGCGTCCACAGTGGACGCCGGCTGCCCACACGACAGCTCAGCTCTCCTGGCGGGGGGCAGCCTGGCCGGCCAGGGTGTGGTTGGCCGGAGGGAGACACCTGGGCTGCCCCCAAACACCTCCGCATCGTGCTTCACAGCGTCCACTGCACGTGAGACCCAGAGGCCTCCGGCCCCTGTGCACACGAGACCTTGTGGCCTGAGCCTGCCTCCCCCGGGGGTGCCCAGGGGGCCACTTTCCAGCAGCCTCCAGAGCCAGGCGCAGCCCCCTGTGGTGTTGCCAGCTATGAGAGACGAGGCCACAGGCTGGCCAGAGCCCACCAGCTGGGAATCTCCATCACAGCCCCTCTGGACAGGGTGAGGCGGGGGCAGGCAGGTTCCCTCAGGACCCTCCTGCCACTGCTGGACGCTGTGGGGTAACTAAGGGCCAGCTGAAAGCTGAGTTTTGTTTTCCTAATGGCAACACTGAGGAGCGTAGGAGGCCAGCCCTCATCCTCGAAAAGCCGTGGCACATCTGGGGGGCTTGGGGCAGAAGAGTAAACCTGAGCCCCCCACCCCCAGACACGGGGCCTCCGAAACCAGCCATGACGGCTGCCATCTGTGGGGCTGAAGGCCAGGCCCGCGACCGAGGGAGCCACCACCAAGGGCTGGACTACAGCCCTGTCCCCTGCCTGGCCTCTCCTGGACCAGTCCTGCCCTTGTATCCCCAGCCCCATGCCCAGCACCCCCTCTCCACTGCCCGAGGACTGACCCACCACCGCAGACTGGTCCAGGGGCCCTGTTCGGGCGGGCCAGGCTCAGCCGTGAGGCTTGGGAAGCTCTCGGGGTCAGGACAGGCCACCGGCCAGAGGTGGAGGCTGGGCAAAGCCCCAGTACAGCCGCTGAGCCAGGGCCCAGGCAGGGGACACAGGCCTTCTCAGCCCCCAGCCTCTCTCACTGCTGACCTAGAGCGTGTGCTGGGGGCCGTCTGCCCCACACTGCAGCACCCGGCATGGGGCTGGCGTGACCCCAGCCGGCCAGCCCCTCCTGCACTGCTATGTCCGAGGGGGGGGTCCTGTGGAGCCCCTGCCCTGCTTTCAGGGCGCCAGCAGCCTTCACGCCCACCGGCACGTCCTGTGCCTCCAGCCGCTCTCTGGGCCCTGGAGGACAGTGACCTGGCTGGTTCCGACCTCAGACCTGCCGAGCCGCCCGCTGCAAATGCAGATGTCGGCTCTGGGCCATGCCCGTGTTTCTTCAGCCTCGAGGCTTTGTGCTCCAGCCTCTCCGGGTACAGTCCCCTCAAGACACCCAGTCCGTCCCTGCTGTGTGGGGGTCTGGGCAGCGTCCGTCTGTACTGGACTGTGGCCTCTGTGACTGTGGGAACGTGTGTCCTGTCTCCCGAGCCGTGTCCTCAGCCTCGCACTGCAGGCAGGCGTCCTCCAACAGTTACTGGACCTGTGGGTCCCCTGCACCGCTCCTCACGTCGGCCGGTGGGGGTGGGCCAGCCCCTGCCCTCCTCCACGCCCCCCCTGGGGTGCAGGGCCCCAAAGCGGCTCCGGAGGTGGGGCAAACACACCTGCCCGAGCAGCACGGGGCGTGGCTGGTGGCGCCGGCACCGCGTGGGCAGCTCCGTCCTGCCCGCCCCCTGCAGGCCCCGCTCTGGGCTTCAGAGCCACCTCAGAGGCTTCGGCGCCCGTGCTCACAAAGAGCTGGCTGAGCAAACCAACAGGCTGGCACCACGGTGCCGGCCCGTCTCCCAGCCCGCAGGTGGGTGGGGCCCCCACCTGCAGGACAGCGGCCCCTTTCGGGGGCTTCTGGGGGCAGCTCTAGCCCTGGTGCCCAAGCCGAGAACATGGCCTAAGGACGCGAGGCCACCTGCCCAGTTTACGTCATCTGTTGTCCTCACGGGCGTCCTTCACGCTTTGAACAATTCAGAAAGTCACTCTCGTGGTCAGAACTGTTCTCAGGTGTCTGGCTGGGTCCTGAACGTGTCCTCACGGCTCTGGGCTGGCATCACGCAGACGTGCCCCTTTGACCACCCCTCACGAGCTTTTTAAGGTTTTTAAAAACGGGTTCTAAAGATTTTCAACTTCGCCATCCCAGGTTTGAGGAAAGACCCCTTGATTTCCTCACCAGCTCCAAACTAAAGACCATACTTCCTCTCAAGACGACTCCCAGGCGGTGGCCCTCTGGGCAGGCGCTGGGCCTTGGGCGCTGGGCCTTGAGCGCTGGCCCTGCAGGCTGAAGCCAGGCCCTGTCTCGCCCAGTCTGGCTGGCAGGGGACACAGCCCCACGTGCCCTCCCCGGCTCCCCACAGCCATGCTGACCCATTGCCAGGCCCTCCAGCCCCAGGCACCGCACAGCACGATGGTCACACACGTGTCCCCAACTCCACGAAGGCTCCAGGGCCCTGTGTCCAGGGTTTTCTCAGGGGGGCCAGCTACGGGCCCCCCCAGGAGTGTCCCTCTCTCCTGTCACCCCTCCCCCTCCTCACAGTCCAGCCGTGAAAGGAAATGAAGGGTTGTGGGCGTGGCCCCAGCTCAGCGACCCTGTCCTCCTGGGCCTGCTCAGAGAGGCCCCAAACGGCAGGGGCCCCCGGGGTGCAGGGGGAGGCAGGGTGAGGGCGGGAGCGGTCCGGGGTGGGGGGGGATGGGTGGAGCCCGGCAAGAGGCAGCTGGGCATGGAGGAACGCTGAGGTCACAGGTGTTGGGGGCGATTGCTGTGTGGGGCGTGGCCATGGCGTGGCCAGGGTCAGTGCGGGGTGGTCCAGGGCGTGGTCAGGGGCATGGCGGGGCAGGGGCTGGGGGCTGGCCCGTGGCCAGTGGGAAGGCCCTGTGGGTGGCGGGAGGGCCCGGGGTCTCCAGGCCCAGAGGGGCTAGGGCTGCGGGCCGTGCCCCCTCCCCGGACACCACGGCGCGTGCCACAGAGCGCAGGGTAGGTGCCAGGCCAGGAGGCGCCCAAGGGTGGGTGCTGCGGGTCCAGGGGCTGAGGCAGGACGTTCCAGGTGGGGAAACGTGGCAGTGAACCGAGCAGCCGTCCCAGGCGCCCAGGTGGCTCTGGAGCTGGGACTGGAAGGCAGCCAGGTGCAGGTCCGACCTCGGGGGCCAGCGGGCCCCCCTCTCCTGGCCCACCCACATCTGTCCTCCCAGAGCCCCCTGCCTTGGCAGACGTCAGCATGGCCTGGCCCTGAGCCTCAGCCTGCCCGCAAGCAGGCACCCCCCATGGGGCGATCCGGCCACGGCACGTGGGGCAGGATGGTGGCTCCGCCCTGCCCTCCACTTTTCTCTAAGTAGAAGGGCACAGGCCACTCCTAGGCTGTTTGCAAAATTAATCCTTCCTCAGGGAGCCTCAGAAACCGGCCAGGGCCCCTGCCCCCCACCCCCACCCGGAGGTCTGGCCAGACAGGACCCCACCCCGGCAGCCCCTGCCACTGTCCAGCTCTGTGGGGGTCTGGGCAGCACCAGGACCTGGCTATACCAACAAGCCAGGTTGCCTGTGGGTGCAGAAACAACTCACAGAAAGCTACTTTTAAAAATACTCATTTTTTGATTAGAAAAGTAATACATATTCATTTTAAAAAATTTTAAATAGACAAGATAAAAATATGAAAAAGCGTCCATAATTTCATCACCTACAAAGGGTTACTGTCGGCTTTTTTTTTTTTTACTGCACGTCCCCTTGCGCCAGGTGGGCAAGGCAGGGCGTGCCGACTGCCTTCAGCTGTCTCCAAGCTGAGCTGCGATGTCAGGAGGGACAGTTCTGTCACCGGCCAGGGTGGCATCTGGCCCACAAACATGAGACACATCAGGCTGCAGAGGCTACACTTCCAGGGATTGGCCTTGTCATCCCCGAGCAGACAGCATCCCTGAGGCCCTCAGTGCCCTTGTCCCCTGGGGAGGGCTGCCCAGGGTCCCCCTGAAGGGGCTGCTCATCCCTCCGTCCCCTGCATGGGGCCTGGGCCGGGTTCCAGGAAGGACAGCCAGCGGCACAGGCCCCACCTGCTCCCCCGCCCGCCTCGGGGAAGGCAGCCAGCGTGCCTGCTGTGGGCCACGGCCTGACGTCGGGACAGGCAGGGGGACACCCACACCCACACCGCTCTCCTGCCACCGGCCACCCCAAGGACGGCACCCCAAGGACGGTACTGTGGGCCACTTCCCACCCTAGCGGGAGCTGGCAAACCTGAGTGCTCCCCAACTCCGGCCACGTGCCCCGGGGCAGAGGGGGCAGGAGCCGCCCCGCTGTGCGACCTGCTCAGACGGCGTCCAGCGCTGCCGTCAGC